ACTAGGGCATCTCACGTTTGTCTGCCCAACTAGGCCTTGATTCAACCCTTCACTCCATTAAATGTGTGTCCCGTTCATCTAATCCTGTCATTTTATAAATTATCAAGAAACAAGCAGGTTTTGCCAAAATAGCCTCAAAATTAGGACTTTATTCGAAAATGGAATTATGCTTGGTATGGAGAAATAAACAAAGATCTGTTACTCATGGGAGAATTCGTGACACTAAATTTTAACGCTTACTGAACGGAACTTCCACACCTGGAATAGTTCATAGGCGCCTTAACACTCAAGTAGATGCCAACTTCCATTGCTTACTAATAAATTTCACCTTATGAATTCTATTTTATTTAATTTACTTATGATTAACTGAATTCCTAAACTAATCCTCAAATAACCAGTGACTTTATTTAAACTTTAAAATTCAATCTTTATAATAAAAAACGATTTTATTAAATATAACCTTGTAAAAAAGCTTTCTATTCATCGCTTTTTTCGAAGAACACCAGCATACACACTTGTAGGATGCCTAGATGAAAGAAATACACATTACTTTAAAGTGTAATAATCTAATTTAATATGTTTTTAAAGTGCATGATAAATTAACCTATCGCGTCGATCTAATTCAGATGATGATGCTGATGTAGTGGCCAATTCAGAGGGGGAGGAGTATAAGAATTCGTAAATTGGATCTCCATACTTGATTTCAACAGGTTCTCTAAAGCAAAGTAATTTAAATTCAATTTCCATCAATGAAATAACTACCCAATCCTTTTTCGTTCTGGTACAGTTGTTGATGCTGATATGGTGGCTTGTTCATCGCTGGAATAAGGCGGAGGGGGGTCTAGATACGGCGGCGGTGGCATATGTGCCTCAGTTCTACCACCTGACTGGGGAGGTGGGTCTTCCCTATTTGATATATTGTAGGTCTGTGGTGTATCTGAGTCATAATTTGGCGGCCAACCAGGATTTGGTCGTTGATAGTTTGAGGGTCTAGATCGCTGCCAGAACCATCTCCTTCTTCTGTTCCGTCCATTGTTACAATTGTCACTATCCCTTCTCACCCTCCTTTCTCTTCTTCTTCTTCTAATTCGACGGCAAAAATCCTCTATTCGACATATAAAACACATTGTTCCAAACAAATCGCGAGCTGGTTGTTAAAGAAGTAATTTCAAAATACCACAGAAAGCATTCTAACATAAACAAAGCGATCCAGTTGAATAGAATGAAAGTCTTTATAGGTGCATTTCCAAAATTACTTCCAACTCGTAAAATGTCTAGAAACTAGCGCCTTTATATAAATATATACAATCACTTGATCTGCTCACTTTATCCTTGATGCTATAATGAATAAAATGACGCGTACATGTGATTGTGAAAAATGTGTTTGTGTGAGGTAAATAACAGACTACATTAATTGGTGCATCCTGAATTCAAAGAGAAAGGAGGCTACCTTTAGGTTTATGTTCATCAAAGAGTCCGTGAACCAGGAAGGTAGATGATTGGGGGGGGGGCGGGGATGGGTGTCTTGTGGGACCCTTGCTAACAGATGAAGGAGCAGAAGCTAAATTAGATCGAAGGAGAATTGGTCATAATCAGATGAACGTTAGAGTGAGAGAGAGAGTCGGATATTCATCGTCCAAGTTCTGAACTTCCGTAGGAAGTTGTAGTTCTGTGATTACCTTTGAAGGTAATTTGTTACTCCTTGAAGGAAATAAAACTAGACATGTAATTTTACGTTAAGTTAATGAGATAAAACCTTAATAAGTTAGAATTTAAAACTAAAACTCAATCCTTTCAAACCGAGTCCGATCACGACCCTCAGCTCACCCGGGAAAACAAGGCTCATACTTATCAAGAGCCTTTCGACGTATTCAAGTTATTTGGCTGTCCGGCAAATTGCTGCGATCTACGATTATCATCTTTGGAAAACTGTAAAAGGTACCAGAAGTAAATACTTTTTCGAAAACGTTAGCTGACTTAAAAAGTAGTGATACTTACAAAATATTGACGAGAAACTTTTGGCCAAGGCTTAGGCAATATTCAGAGAAAATTTGTGTTTTTTTACATTCTATTCTTCATAATAAATTAAACTTTGAGAATTTGTTATGAGATTATCAACGAAACCCGAAACAGTAATGAGCAAACTCACGAAAAGCCAAAGCATCGACAATTATAAAGAAAAACGATGGGCACAGTGTTATCAGTGTGATGTAAGCTGGTAATTGTTATGGTAATCCCCATTAGTACGAGAGAAATCACAGATTCAGAATTCGAAAAATGTGCCCAGTAGATCGGCTAATGGTGCAAACCATCATCTGAGGCATTAAGACTGAATGCAACTAGGTCTGAATCCCATTCAAAGATGAAACAACGATAACATACGACCAGTCACATGGATAGGCAACTATAGCACTTCCATCCACGAGGAATGGAACGCGACCAGTGTCCCTCGCCACTGGTGGTTGGACTGGCAACAGCAGTGCTAAGCCAGAGCATTGACCATAACCATGTGAATCTGATTGTAATGATGCCGATTCATGGGTGCTGAAACAATACCGAATGGTGAAATGAGTGTGGAAGCACGATATCGTTTGAAAACAACTTAGTGTTTTCTCGGGAAGACGTGTGTTTTCATGCAGATCTCAGCATGCGAGGTATTGAGTGCTATCCCTACTATACGCAATGATTTGGAGCCTTTGAGTCATATGTCTCCGTTCTTTCATCCCACATATCTGCATGTGTACGTATGCTGTTCAGTCCCAAGCTAAGGTATGTACATGGGCATCTTAGTGCGTTTAATTATGGCATTAATAACTATGCTCAGAGTATATATTTGTTGAACTCAGTGATTATTTCCTTGGGTATGGATGTATGTGGGCTCCGTCTAAATGCCGACTCTGTGAATTTGACAACTGCATAAGAATTATTAAGCTAAATCTACATCCAAATAAATTGAGCAAACTTAAAGTGCACATGTTGACATGTATATTAATAAAATGGCACCAAGGGGCCTGGCAAACGCAATGTTGATTCATTCACTTTGACAAGAAGTGCGCGAAACTAAATAAAGCGATATTCATTGCAACCAAGGTGGAAACACTCATATAGTAATTAAGTTAGCAGAACGGAGAGAGAGAGAGAAGATTTTGGTCTCAGCACTTTCAAAATTGCTTACTTCATGGCTGCAAATTAAGCATGTGTGAGCACGTGTATTCCATAGTACATCTTTTGTTACTACATTTTGAAGTCACAGGAATATGGCCATGATGAAACGAGAAGCTGAGCTCATTTCCAATTACCTCTATAAAAACAATCAAGCTAAACTACCGAGGTTCTATTTAAGAAAGGTCTTAGGGTGATTAGTAACTGCGTGATTTCTCAATTCTTCTTGTTGTGGTCACATCGACATGAAGTTTCTGGGCAATAGCAAGTCTATTAACTAGCTGTCAAATTATTGACAACAGTGGACACTCGTTTAAAATTAGCTTGCATCTTGAATAATACTGACGCCATTTGAGGAGTTGCAAGGTGTATGTGACAGTGGAATTCACAAGAGTAACAGATTCACATATATTGAATTAATATTGAAGACTGAACTCACTTTGCACACGGAATGCTTTAAATCAGTTTTGTAATGTGCC